TAACCAACTTTAAATTCTACAAGAACTTTTTCTAATCAATTAAAAATCACTAGACATTACTAAATCATGTCATAGAAGTAAGCAATTATTTTTAATTCAACTGTATGAAAAATATATTAGGGTAAGGTCAAGCACCTTCAAATTGAGAAAAATCTTCAGAAGATTCCAGCACCTTTGATGGCAGCGCTCAATCAGCTGTATTTCAGTCCACATGAATAAATCCCATCCCATCCCACATTCCACTGTGGACACAGTACTAGTACTGTAACTACAAATACCTTCTCCTGTGTTCTTCAGTTTACTCTTTTAATTCATTTATTTATTGGAGATAAATAATGAGGATGGAGGTACAGAGGCTTCAATCCAAGGCCTCATGCATATGAAGCAAGCACTTCAGCCAGTGTAGCACTTTTCATTTATGCTTTATTTGAGACAGGGTCTTGCTAAATTGCACAAACTCGTCTTCAGTTGAGACTACAGGTGTTTGCAATGAAGTCCATCCCCCCTCCCCTCTCTCTTGCTCGCTCACTCTCTCTCTCCTCTCCCATTTCTAATGTGGAAGCTACTCATTTCTACTGGGTGGAGCATAATGCATGATGCACATTTTCTGCAGCCTCAAACCTTCCAGGTGCAGATGTTCCTCATGGCCATATCAGATCTCTGGGGGCATTCCCCATGGCCTTATCAGATCTCTGGGGCCCATCAGCCTGGTAAGGGTAATGTGATCCCAGAAAAAGGATAATCCCAAATTATGAGTGCCAGTTTCTTCCTCAAGTATTTATAGTTCTTACAATAAGTATTCCAGTATGGTGCAATGGAATCCAACTCATAACAACTTTTTAATGCCTTTATAACACAGTATTCAAAATAGCACATTCTTATAGATAATGTGAAATAGGAAGAGAAGGGGCAAAGGGGAAGGGGAAGTGGGAGGTGTAGCAAAAAGGAAAGAAGGGAATGGAATTAACACAAGAAAATGAAAAAATGGAAACTAAGTCTTTGTAAATAGGGAGGGATGGAGTGGTTGAAGGAAGGGCAGGGGAATAGGGATAAAATAAGAACCAAGAGAGATTACGTAAAGGTGCAAATTTCCAATGATGAGTGTCATTATATTGTATAGCTAAAGTGTAAAGATAAAATTAATTTAAAATAAAAAATAGCACCTTCTAATCACTGCAGATGACCACTTGCAACTATTGAATACCCGTTAATATGAATCATGAGTACAATATATTTTGTCCAATAACATCTTTTCAGCCCATAATATGAGAGAAGAAACATCACACCCTTTTTACATTTGTGATGGAAAGGTGATGGTATGCAAGGAGTGACTCCCTCAGCCAGTTCAGGTGCTCCTTGTGTGGAGCAGTGGGCAGGATTCTAGAGCACTGGACAGTAAGGCTTTTTTTCCTCCATGTTTTTTTTGGAGGGAGGACACTGAATAGCAAAAAGGGCAGTTTGCACTCTAAGTAAGGGACCTTATGTCTCCACCCTTCTGGCAGCATCCCGAAAAGCCCTAAGTCCAGTTGCAGTGCTAGATTCCCCTGTGCTGCCATGCTTTGCATCTTTCTTCAGGGAGCTTTCTGGCTTCCAATCCTGTTTCCTGATTAAATTCAATGCTTTCAAACCCTTTGCAAAGATGACAACAAAGCAAAGCATTTTTTAGTATGAGGACATAGTCACTGGCAGGGTACAGTCATTACATACACCCAGGCACACCCAGGCATATGCACACACACACACATAACCTGTGAGATAATGATGTAACCAGGATGATGGATATCTCTCTCTTCCCTAAGTTTTCTTGTGCTCCAAATGTAAGCACTTCCAGTAGCTTCTAACCACCTGAGCAGAGAGAAGCATAAACAGCCATCTTTTTCTACAGGTTAACATTTTAATATATTTTATCTCAATTAAATTGCACTAAATGTATTTTATTGTTTCTAAGAATGAGAGCCAACTGACTTCTTTCACTCAGAAAAATTATCTGAGATACATGAATCGCATAATATGAATTTGCTTAAAGATTCACCCATCAATAGACATATTTCTTGCATTTATCTTAATTTCAGAAAATACAATTTTTTTCAGAGTAATAATATCCAGTTTTATGTTTGCCAATTCTATCATTATATGGTGATATATATCCTGTTTGGATCTAATCCATTAATTCATTTGCTATTTATTTCACAATATGCTGAGAAGTGTGTATTATATCTACTATTTTCCCAATTTTTAACTGAAGGTCTCAATCGTGTGTACTGTGTATTGAATATAACTTCTTTTTTTTAGCAGTTTTATTTCACCTCTTTCCATCATAGTGAATATTTCAATATAATAATGTTTTTCATGGCTACTTTGTCCCAACCATCCATCTGTCTTTTCCTCTGCTCCTAACAGATGGCTTTAATTATTGTTTCATTATATTTAGCACATTGAAATGTTGATAAACATTGATCAGCATAAATACAGGAAACAACTACATAGTCAAAAGTAAGTTATTCATGAAAAGAAAAAATATATTATCGTCCATTGTTGAATAACCATCTATATAGCTTGAGAATTGGCCTGACTTGATTTAAGAAACTGTTTTTTTCAATTATGATTGAATCAAATTATTCTTGTTTATCTTTATCATGCAAGACTGAGTGTGGGAATACTCAAAAAACACATAACACTGTGATTTTTTACTTTTTCAGAAAAATTCTTGTAACTCTTTGTTAACTCTCTTCTTTATATTCTCTGTTATACTGTGCACTAAATATTCATTTCTGTGTGATACTTAATGGTAAAAAAGTAATTTTATTACTAAAATAATGTTAGATTAAAATAATGACAATTTATAATATTGTAGACTTGATATTGTGATATTATTAGTCCAAGATTAATGTCTGCTATTAATAAAGGAGAACAAAAGTAGCTACAAAGCCCTTGTAACACTTTGTAAATAGTAACATAATAAATATAATGCTTTAATCTGTAGATACAGAAATAAAGCTAGACTATATGTACACATAACTAATATAAATAACAATATGCCTGTTCTAAAAATCAATACTGCCAATATAGACACATAATATATTGAATACATTGAATAAGAATAGAGAAAACTATCTGCAATATGAAGTTTTACTCCTGGGCAAAATAGCTACAGATTTTCATAAAGACAATGTTCAACTTCATTCTGACACCAAGCTCTAAATAAATCTCTCTATTTTATGTTTAGTCATGTTTTAAAAAGATATTGTTGCAAAATCTTAAGATCTTCCTATCAAGATATTATACAGAGCTAACTAAAAGGATGTAGCTCAATGTGAAGTTCTGGATTTAAAGACAAGTAAATCAGGGCTGAGGATTTAGCTCAGTGGCACCATGCCTGCCTCATAAGTTCAAGGTCCTGAGTTCCAGTATCGGTACCAAAAAACAAAAAAAAAACAAACAAAAAAAAGACAAGTAAATCAATACAGAAGTAAGATGCTAATCAAACGCATCATTATGGCTGTCATAAAAAAGATTGATAATAACAAGAGTGGAGAAAAATTCAGACCCTATTACATTATCATTAGGAATCTAAAATGAGGAAGCAAAGTGGCATTAAAAAAATAGTTTATCAGTTTCTGAAAGTGCCAAAGGACTATCATACAATTATATAATTCTACATTGATGTAGACATACAAGAATAAAGAAAATATATATCTACACAAGCCTCTGTATAGTAGTGATGATAAAAGGATATTTAATAATAGCCAAAACCAAAGGTTAAAAAAATGTCCACCAACTGACAAATGGATAAACAGTGGCATGTACATTAAGTGAAATATTTATTGCTCAACAACAAAAATAAATGCAATATGGTTGAAAATGTGAAACCTTATGTTAAGTGACAGAAATAAATCACATAAAAAATTACATGATCCAATTTATATAAATTGAGAGGTATTACTATTGCATATATGGTTTCTTGTCAAAGAAACAGATATTCTAAAATTAGATTTTAGTGAGTTATACGTTTTAAAAAGGTGAATTTTGTGATTTTGGAGTGTAAATAAATAAAGCAATCATTAAAGAAATATCACTAGCTGTTTTTGATCTTTAATCCAAATTCTTACCTAAAAAATTTAAAGGTGTAAGAAAAAAATTTTTGACAAATAAGAAATACAGTCATTACTTTTATTTTAATCAATCATTCTGGCAGCAGAGGTCTCAATTTTTTATACTAAGAATACAGAGAATAAACTTTAGCTTGAATCACAATGTAATATAATCTACATTACTGTTAATCTATTGCATTACAGTGATCAGAAAGAATGATTAAAAGTTCACCAAATAAGAGGTTGAATAGTGTACAGGTACTATCTTAAAGTTTTGACCATCTGCTAGAAAATTTGTTTTATATGAATAATAAATTTTTCACAGTTGATTAAAAAGTTCTTTTCTATTTTTCTTATATTGCTCTGAGCTATATTAGACATGATCCAATAAAAGAAAGAGGAGTAAGTGGTCAATTTATGACTGCTTTAGAGATGCATGCTTTGATGTGAAATTTTTAGTTCCCTTTAAAAGCAGTCAAACATGTAGATTGGCTTTATTGCCAATCAGATGAGACTTCTTTTTCTCAGTTCAGATAGATATCACAAATTGACAAAGTGAAGGCACCGGTTAGGGCTGGAAACCATCAGTCAACACTGCTGGCTGCCTGTCTCTGAGTTTGTTCACAGGGTCAGTGCTGGCTGGTGTGCCAGACACTGTCCTCAGACTCTGTCAGTGCCGCTTTCCATTCCTGAGCTTTGTCAGCTAATGTTTTCTGGAGCTCTTCACAGCTGTCTCTAGTGCTGATTGCTCTTTCTTTTAAATTGAACACTCTGTCCATGCTACTTAGAAGAAGAATCCCAAGTAGATTTACAGGACTTCTAACAGCACACTATCTGAGAAATAAAAGGGAGCCCCCCAAACTAACCCAATAGTGTGAGGGGATTACTTTTCATACAGCAGCTACAGACCTGTGATTGGTCCAAACAAGTGAAGGTGTCCAAGACAGTGGCAGCTGTCATTGCCCGAGATCAACAAAATGTCAGTGAGATGCTAGCTGTTTGATTGATAGCTGTTGGATCTGTGAGAAAAAAAAACAAAATGAAACAATAACAACAGAAACACTTTGGTCCCAAAACTAGGGAAGAGGGGTGAGGAGACTAAATGAGTTCATCATGGCTTATTGGAGTTTGGAGATGTTAATAATGGGCCTGGATCCCTACCTGATCTCCCCCATGTTAGGGTCAGTTCCCTTACTACTTCTTGACATCTGAATCAGTGGAAGTGGATTCAAGAACCACTGCTGACACCTGAGCTGAACTTCCTGTCACAGCTGGCCTGTCAGAGAGCTGGTGTGAAGCAACAACAGGAGTGGCAGGAAGAAAGTAAGGCAAGAAGTGAGTTGTCCGACTTCATCCTCTGGGTGCAAGGGGGAGTGAAGTAAAGCAGGGAGGAAGGACATGACTGCTGTCTGTCTCACCTTGACAACATTCACATGTATGAATCAGAATTCCTTCATATGTATAAATCAGATTCAGATAGAAATGATCATAAGCTTTTACCCTCATATCTAGATCTTAGAATAATATGATCTTCAAGTTATTGCATATTATATTTGGAGGTTTACTGTCTTAAATGAATCACAGCAACTGATGTATATTTCTATGTCAAATAAAATAATTGATGAAAATTTATATAAATTTGGAAAATAAACATATTGATGTGTTCAATTAATTTATCTGGAAAAATTCATTTCTACTACATACAAAACTAAATTTTATGTTTGCCAACAAGTATAATTCGCCTATTCCTGGAATAATCCTTTTTATTTTCTTCAAATATTTTACTTTCCTCAGGATAGCAAGATGTTTTGGACTGACATTGCCATTTTTAATATTCAAAAAATTCTGACAGAGTCTTTATTGCTCTGCCTCACTAAGAAATCAGGTGGATTTGTAAGAAAATTAAATCAATTAAAATTTTATTAACCATAAGAAAACCTCTCTTTACTCTGCCTTATTACTTTGAAAGAAAAAGACGATCAAGCTCCATCAATATTTTCTTTTGTGCAAAGAAAACATATTGAAAGGAAAATAAAAAATCTGAGCAAATACTATTTGCCAATGTGCATGTGACCATTTGAGAAAAATATGATTCATTCATTTACTTCTGTATGGCATGAAATGCTAGATTAGTCAGACAGATGAAGTTGAATTTAATGCCTACAATTCACATTGTTTGTTACAATTAGCATGTCTATATTGATGGTCTGTGATATGCATTTTTTCTTTTACTTTTAAATATCTTCATATTTCCAACATAGAAAATGTTTATAAGATAAATGAAATAACAAATGGATTGATCCTTCATTTGTCTCAGATCCTGGCAAGTTTTGCTTGTGGAGAGCGGTGACATATTGGAAGAGGATACGAGTACAATCAGATCACAGTGAATGCACAGGATTATTGGAAATGAAACAAAAGATTTTTCAGCTGAATACAAATTGCTGCAGGTAATATTACATACTGGGAGAAACTGTACTTTTCTCCAGCTATGTCATGGTTCATGAGCCAAAGAGAAATATAACAGTGGGTTATGACAGACCTGAAGGTTAACTAGAGATGATATGCCCATGTCTTTTGAGAAAGTATATTTCTGACGTGCACTAAAGAACAATATATTATAATGTCAGGTCTGTATTTTTTTTAGAGTTTTAAATTTTTCCTATTAAAATAATGCTATTTCATCTGTAAAAAAAAATTACTAGGAGAACAAAATATCCTCACATACTACAAAATTGAGAACTAAATACCAGTGTGTTAACTGGAACTTGTAGCTCCATAGATGCTTCTAAAGTCAGCTACCTGCTGATGCTTACAATTGAAAAAAAAAAAGAAAAAACTCATCATGTTCTTCCTAAAACATCTTCCTATATAAACAATTTCTAATTTATTATGTTGGGCTACTTCAAATCTTTTGTCTTCTCATTTTCAGATGTTTCTTTCCTTCCATCCTCTTGTAAAGTCACTATTTTTAACTACTGTGAAATAATTTTGCTCTGTCATTGTCTCCACTTATAAAAGTAATTCAAAACTTTTGACCAAGATGTTGCCTCAATATTATTGTCATAATTCTCAAAATAAAAGCACACTAAAGTATACATTTGTCTAGTAAAAGTAAGATCAATATTTGAGAAGGAATATTCACCTATAATTTCCTAAAGCCTTAACATCTATGCAATGGCACTTATTTTGACTTTTCGAACCAAGATATATTTTATAAACAAGTTACATTTCAAAAAATTTAAAAATATAAAATTTATATCTTATCTATTCATTTTTAGTTTTCAAATCTATAAAAGTAAATATTAAGCAGAATCTATGGTATATCTAGTATTTAATATGTGACAACCTGTCTATATGTTTATTTCTTCCACCTCTGTCTTATTCTGCTGCTCTGTCTACTTTTGATAGATGTTTTTCATGCCTGTTGATTTTAAATAGTGAGCAGATTTTTAACTTTTGGACATTCCATCCCTTCAGGGCTAGGTTTTGATGGATGTCTTGCTAAATAATTGTGCACTTTCTTCCAGGTTCTGAGTAGTAAACACATTTACAGTATGAGTTCAACGCTTTCACCCTTAATTATATTACTGTTGCTAACAGTTTTTGATTCCTCATCTCCTTTACTTCTGTGGTTTAAACAGATGTAAGAAGGACTAAAAAAGGATCTGAGATCCCAAATTAATAAGCAAGCAAGTGAAGGTCAGGCTTTTCCACTCATTTTTTTTTTTTGCAATGGCCTATGACTTGTCTAATAGTATATTTGCAGAACTTAATGTTAAGGCTTATCTGAAGTAAAGGTTAATATTAATTCTCAAATTTGTAATTTTCATACTTCCATAAAATGTTGCCTAATATAATTAATAACTAAATATTTTATAAATACTACTTACTAAGTATACTGTAATAATTTTCAAGTTTTAAGTAATGAGATTTTGATATTTAAATTAAATCATTTTTTACTAAATTTATCAGGTAGTTTTTCAGTATAAAAGTATTGCTGTTGGCAATGATATACTACATATTTTGTTGGATTCAAAACATAAAGGTCATAAAGGTTTTATGGCTTGAAGTTAGACAGAAGAACAATACTGTATGCAAACAAACAGTCTATAAAAACACTAATTGAAAATAAAAATACACAAAATTTCTTTAGGGGAGAAAAGATATATCTTTCTGCACAATTTGCAACATCAACATCAAATGCATATTTTATTAATACTTTTAGTATTTGAACTTTTGTGATATTTGAAGTATTCTTTTTAGCAACTTATTTATACTGACAACACTTAATGTCACAATGAAAGAAAAAATTATCTAAAAGGAAAATTGTCAATATAATGGACTGAGCCACCATGTTTCCCTAGCTTTGTAGACTGACATGTTGATTTTTTTATGCTCAACATTATCTATAATAATATTTCTATGTTTTATCAATCTATACAGATATTCATATTTATATCATCTATATGTGTAACATATTTCTAAATATATCCGTGAACTTACATCTACTCTTTCACTAATATTTATGTCTCTTTATCTATGTACATGTTTATTGCTTCTCTAATTAAAGTAGGTGTTTCATGTCTTCAAAAGCCAGGAGTTAAGACAAATGGCTCTAGTATCTCGTCAGTATGAAATAAATGACTTAAATATTAAACATAGAGTCATCATCATTACATGTCCCTCACTTCAATAGTCCATATACTTTGGCCCCACCTTTTCTTTGAAACTAGAGTGTCTAAATTAATTCATTACAGAAGGTGTCATTTTGTGTACATTCATTTAGAGAGTCTAAATTGATGTTATATGAATTGTAGAAATAAAAGTTGTTACTACTTAATTTTATCAAAAAGGAATGAGTTGTCTATACTTTTACAAATTATAATAATTTTTCACAAAATAGTTTCATAACTGATGCCCTACCTGACATGAAAATGAAAAAAAAAAAAAAAAGCTTGGTTATAAATAATAGTAAAATTTACCTGAAAACTTTTTAAAGAAGACTTGTTCGTGTGGTTGTTTTGAGTTTTGCAGCTTAGCTTTAGAGTTTCTTTTGAAAGACCTAACCAGGTAGTAAACTCCATTTCAAACTTTCTGGGAAAGAATGGTGTTGGAAATTTTTAAGACATAAACTATGTTGTGTTTACCTTATGAACAGCTGACATTAAATACAAGCCACATGGAATGTCTTACTATACACAATAAAAGAAAACTTAATTAAAGGAGACAATTTTAAGATTTGATAAATATTATGCAAACACATATACTTTTACCAGAAGACAGTATATTACAATGGGATTGAAGACTGAAAAATGATGTCCTACAGGGAAAGATTTACTGAATGCAAGCTAGAAAAGCTTCTATTCTTTCTACAGATTTCAAGATTCCTGGAAATTTGCAGATGAAAGGTAGTTCTATCTGAAATAAAAGCTAAGAAACATTTTACCCAGTTTTAGAACATAAATGTAATATGCCACATATTTAATAGATTTGAAAATGTATAACTCCATTCCAGGTAAAGTGATGACCAAGAACTATTTTAGTGTATTTTATGATCCAGTGTATTTACATTTTTCTTCACTTAACACAAGATCAATATAATTCTTTCTTACTTAACATAGATCATGGACTTATTCGCTCTGTAATTTTCTTGTAATTAGAAAGTAGGAATATAAGTGGGCAAGGTCTCCTCCATGATGCACTTAGAAATACTGATAAACATCATCAGAATGTTTACTTAAACAAACATTTCCATCACCTTTGCCAACTAATGATTACACAGTTGGGTTGCTTTTCAAATAATTGCTTCTAGATATGTGGGTGTCCGTCATTAGTACACTGATAATATAGGGAAATCAAACGTCATCTTTACCTCTGGCGCAATGATGGCAAACCTTTTAGAGCTTTCAGTGGTAATGAATAGCCCAGCCTGTTGCAGCACTCATGGATGGCATTGCTTAGACACTGCGTGGGTATTCAAAAATGTCTCTTATTTGAGGAAGTCCTTTATTCAAGTTCCCTTAGTTTGCTGAATTTTGTTTGTTTTTTATTCTTGAAAAACTAATTAACTTTGTTAATGTTTTTCTGCATATTATGGTTATAATATACGTTTTCATTTCTGGATAAATGGCATTTACTTTGGGTACTTAATGCTTTTTATACGTGCCTAAATTAAATTCACTAACATTTGTTGAAGTTCATTTTTTTAATTCTAAGGACATCAAGCTGCAATTATGTTTGGCTTTGTTATTTTGGCCTTGATATTCTTTTTATTTATTTGTTTTTTGGGTATTTTGTTTTTAGAATATTCTATGGTGTTGG